ACTCCCAGTTGGTTAGTTCTTCATTGAAATATGATCTTATTCTCTTGTTTGTCCTTTTAATATGAACTGAAGGACTCACTGTAGTAGTTGTAGTTTTTAGATCAACTGGTAGATATGAGGTGTTGCTAGTAAATGTATTGATAACGTAAAGTTGAATTTTAACTTTTATTTCTAACCTTTTTGTACAAATCTTATTTGCATCAAAAGTATCATAATATTCACTCTCCAATTTTACCTGTGAATTGATATATAATCAAAAGAATAAACTTTATTCTTTACATACTGAAGGAGTAGTCACTGATTGATAGGAAGGATTAGTAGTGACTAGTGTAGCTAATAGTTGATTATTATTAGTAGAGAGAGGTACATGATCAGAGTAGCTAGGATTAGAGGAGACAGGAACTTCATAATCAGACACTGGAGCTTGTTGAATAGATACTGGTACTTCATGATCCATAGCTACATACAGTGACTGATCATGTGATTCAACTACTGATATTTTAACTGCAAAACATAAGTTTATTTTAGCCATGTACAATAGTGTAGTAAGTATTTTTAATATAGTTATGAAAGAAAATTGAAGGCTATGGTCAATATTTTTTAATGACTGTAGCTAAATAATAGTAAATAAACTAATTGAAATATTGATAAACTGTGTAGTATTATGATACATACAGTAAAATAATATTTTAACTAATTGTTGCTGCCAGACTTGGAAGTTCCTCCATATAAGGACAGGAACATACAGCTTTTTATTAACTCAAAAAAACAGTAGAAAAATGAAATTGGTGCAGCATTATATGAATAGTGTGCAATTACATATCTATTCTGCAAAGACAAATTAAAATAAAATTATAATACGAACATTCAGTAGGAGCTCATGTAACTACTGGCAATCCCTTTTTCTCTAAAGTGAATCATTCTAGCCTTGCTCAGTACACCTAAATTCTCATCTCACTCTCTCCTTAATATCATTTTCATGACAATATTATTTTCAAAATAGATAAAGGTATTATGATGTAATTAATCGAGCAAAAATTATTGTATGGAGAGAATGGAGTTAGGAAAGTTACTTTGATAGGTACAATAAGTATAATAAAATTCACACCTCACAGGGACAAAGTTATAACTGAAACAAAGAGAAGTCATTGATGACTTTCTTAATCTTTCAATAATTGTATCATTAGAAAAATACATCTCATCAGTACTTGCTTGAACCTGATGTGTCATAGTAGTACTATTAAACTGTCCTGTAGAAATTGGGGTAACACTACCAAATGATGATGCTATTATATGAGTCTGAAAGGTAATGGTAAGTTACTATAAAATAGAATAAAACTCACTGTATTAGCATATTGTATTGTTGGTAGTTGACAGGTTTGGATGAGATCAAGAAAAGGATTTATAACAATATCACATGCAACAAAACTCTTAGTACAGTCATTATGATTGATAGTTATTGATGATGTTAGGTTTAATCCAGTTAGTGTAGGCATTCTTGGTTTATTGGACTCAGTTATCAATGACTGTAATGATTCATTAATAATTTTAATCTGATACATATAATCATTGAGCTGTTTCAATACATCACTGGTTGACATATTCTAATCAAATAATAATAAAATAAAAATATATAACAATCATTGAACTTACTTTATCTTGCATCAGTTTATTTATCTCTTCACTTATAAATGATATTGACTCCCTTATAGCCTATTGAGTGACATATACACCCATTACACAGCATGTGACATAACCCATTAGTGTGTGACATATATGCCCATTATTAGACAACATGTGACATACATCCCTGGCATGTACCCATTACACAGTGTATGACATATATAGAGTGTGAAATTGAATGCATATATACTTACTGTTAAAGAAGTGTTTATAATATCTACATAGAATGTATACATAACTATAAAAAAATAAACACATACACTCACTATTATTAGTATTAGTGCAGGTACAGTTAGGCCCTGATGTATCCTTCCCAATGTTATTTGTTGAATGATTTGATGT